ATCTATCTATCTCTCTTTCTCTCTTTCTTTCTTTCTTTCTCTTTTCGTTGACGATCCGAGTTGCTGTCTACCCTTTGGGGATTATTGATGCACCTCCTACCCTCCCCCTTTCCCCGGCAGATTATCCTCGTTCTTCGGCCTTTCGCATCGCCTTTCCGTGATTCTCTAGTTCGCCGGCTGGAGCACGGTGGTCCCAACGCGTTTCTACGTTTTCCAATCCGCAAGAACCGTCGTTCCACCGTATTTTTATATGGGTACGCGACTGCTACTGAAACAGAAAGAAACGACGAAATTCAAAGACAATATTCTATGGGACTCATTAAATGGGATAATGTAGGAGAAATTTGCAATTTTTCATACGATCGATAAAAACTCGCATAATAATATGGCTTGTTTATCATTTTTGTCCGTGTTTTTCTTTTATTAATTTTTTTTCTTCTTCTTCTTTTTGTTGTTGTTGTTTTTTTTTTTTTTTTTTTTTTTTTTCTATATCAAGAGCTATCCTAAATCTCTCGATAATTTCGTACGTCAATGTCTTTCACGATCGGGGAAAGCGAAAGACAGAACAAACGACATTGATCTCACTTAGAGACCGAAGCCATTAGAAGGGAAGTCCGATCGAAGTTCTCGAATGACGTACCTTTATAAGTGATGTCCATAGTACTCGGGCGGGTAATGGTACTGGTTGTGGAAGGTAGGATCGCCCGGCGGCCGGTGCATCATGCTCGCCGCCTGTCCGTCCATCATATAGCCCATCGTCGCGTCCGGACTGTACGCCCCGCTAGGACCTGCGGACAATGGTGGAAACACTACACGTTACTATGGTTAGATCTCTGTTCCGTAATTGGCAGGCTGCTACTGGACAAGCTCGGAAACTCCTCTTGAATCATGGTACCACTCTTCTTTTTTCAAACGAACAGTGGACACCGAGGAGTCGCCGAGCTGTGTCCTCGTTCAACGATGTCGCCTTATTCGTATGAAATGAAAATTAAAATGTCAAATTGAAATGAATTGCGACATCGTTCAACTTCCTCTCTATATTGTTGTATGTGTATCTGCGTGTGCGTGCGTTCACGTGTATGTGTGTGTGTGTGTGTATATATATATATATGTATCCGTATATATGCATATGAGTGAGAACGTGTATGTCGTAGAATATGACTCGAAAGAAATACTTAAATATTTATTATTTCCATTAAATTGTAGTTTACAAGGATGCTCATTAGATGCAAGGTATTGAAGCTCATAAAAAAGAAAGAATTATTTCTTTTTTTTTTCTTTTCTTTTTTTTTTTTTTTTTTTTTTTCATTTTTATTTTTTATTTTCACGGCCACAAGCGTTAATGAAAGCAAGAAGATTTACGTTCAAGGAATACAAAATGAATTGACGCTAGGTCGAGAATTTCAATCTTCCTCGGCATCGAATGGTTTAGTTCAAAGTGACGACAATTCCTCGCAATCTCTCTCTCTCTCTCTCTCTCTCTCTCTCTCTCTCTCTCTCTCTCTTTCTCTCTCTCTCTTTCTCTTTCTCTTTCCTCTGTCTCTTTTCTAAGCTGTAATGGAGAAACGGGAATCCACGGGAGACTCCCCTAGTTTTAATGTCGGTATCTTAATGTATATTGCCGCGATAAATCAAGGACTCTGATTGCGTCCTACCACCCTTCGTACCAATACGATTGGGACTTGGTGAGAGGATAGAGTACAAAGATGGACGGGTGAAGGGAGAGAAAATTTCGAAGGAAAAAGATCTTCGATATTTTCCGGCTTAGAATAGTTAAAGGTAAAATGAGACAACGTCCAAGTATTTTCGAATAGGTATAGCTTATTCCGCAATTTCCCACGACTCGGTGAACTTTCCATCAGCGATTTGTCATAAGGCAGGAAATCCACGATTTTACCCCTTCCAAGCTCGTACCAACTATTTCAACCGTTCAAATGTTCTCTCTCCTGGCAACAACCTTTTTCTCTTTTTCTTTTATCCTGACGACCGACTTCTTTCCACGTAAAAGGGAGTACACCGAGGACTATTTCAAACAAAACTCGCGGCGCTTTACTTTATCCGCGTCCTAGCCGTAAATCACAATTATTGCGAGCGCTCGTTTTCCTTTCCCCCAACCACCCCCAACCCCTTCTTTCCCCTTGGATCACCTTCTCTATCTATCTTCCTCTTCCACTTTTTACTACTCGGAGAACGTTTTTCAAACGCAATCCACGACGCACCGCTCTTTCTTAGGTTTCTTACCTTCTCCTTACTTTTTCCACTTAAAGGCGGCGATTCAAAAACTATTGTCTTATCTTTAATAGCCCATTGCGTGATTTAAAACGGATAATTTTCTTCATAAAAAATAATATTAAAATCATAATAAAGGACGAGTATACGTGCAATTTATATTATTATGGAGAGGGAATCTTGGTTTATGTACCCGGAAAATGCACATATTGCAGAACATGATTTTAATGTTGAAGCGAAGTGAACATTCCTTGCAAGGTATGAACGCATTGGAGAAGGTTTAAAGTGGCTCGAAAGTCTTTCATGGCGTCGTCGTCGTCTTCGTCGTCGTCGTCGTCGTCGTCGTCGTCGTCGTCGTCGTCGTCGTCGTTGGCCTCGTCGTCGTTGTCGTGTATTCACCAGCTCTCTCTTTCTCTCTCCCTCTTTCTCTTTCTCTCTCTCTCTCTCTCTCTCCTTCGCGGTTGCTGGGTCTCAGGCCCAGGAATGTAGTCTCATATTATAGCCACCACGACTACGGATATCCCACTAACGAGGGATGCGCGCTTGTAGTGTGATTAAACCGCGCTATAACGCAGCGGGGTGCCTACGGATAGCTCGGACGGACCACAATATGGGAAATTAAGGAATAGCTCTCTCTCTCTCTCTCTCTCTCTTCTCTTAAATCGAAGGAGAAAGAGGGGTGAATCTTCAGCAGTGGATTCCTCGCAGTGAACCGAAACGACTTGCGCGAACTCGTCTCTTTCTCAACGTGTAAATCGCGTCGTTAGGGAGTCCTCTCTCTTTTTCTCTTTCTCTCTTTCTCTCTTTCTCTCTGTGGACCAAGCGCGTTTACCTTTGATTGGATCGCGGTGATTATTTTCTGCATATTATACCGACGACTCTCTAGTAGTCAGAGATTTTTTTTTCCTTTTACTTTTTTTCTTTCTTTCTTTTCGTTCTTTCTTTCTTTCCATTTTCTTTTTTTTTCTTTGAAACGAGTATGGGGAAAAAGAGAAACAGATTATCTTTCAACTTTCACAACTTTCAAGCTTAAGAGCAACGATCGATCTCGTCGATTTCTTTGATATCGTTTACTACGGGACGAAGACCATCGTCGTTAGACAGTAATTACGAAAATTTCCGTCGGGGTTAGCATGATCTAGAAGAAGGAAGTTAATGAAAGAAATATACGTTGATCGAAGATCGAGACTAGATACGTTCATGAGATTGCTTTTAAATGTATCGGCAAAAGACTACGTATTATAAATATGTCAATCTTATTGCCGGTATTTTCTTAACCGAGCTCTTTGATCACCGACTTGATTTACACGAGTCAAATTAACGAACGAAAACGCCTGTGTTAAATGCAAAACGAAACTCTTTTTTTTTTTTCAAACGCGGAGATTCGTCTCGCACGATTAAATCCTTATTATTTTAATTATTTATCATTCTCCCATACGTTAATGTTAACTTTAACGTTTAGGCGTTCGTATAACACGTGATCTCTTTCATGTTATTGAACAGTGACAATCATTAGATCGACGTCTCCTCAGAGTCATTCTGGGAATTCGTTTAGACGATATCCTTGTAGGAAAACCTAAGCCAAAGTGGGGTCAATTCGATGAGGCTAAATCCTGGTATAACGAGACCACGAGGAGATAGGAAAAACACTGTACACTGTAATGCAATAAAAGTTGTCCCTGACCAAGAAGACTATGGTATTGCTTGCTATTTCGGCACCGCGTAAATCTACAAAAGCTTCTTGCCAGCATATCCCCCTTTTCTAGCTCAGCCAGAAAATTTTACGGGACGTGTAAGTTTTACTATTTCTATATATACGCATATACGTTTACGCGTTCGTTAATTTATTTAGGAACTATCCGAAACGTGTACAGAGGCGTTGGAAGTAAACGAGTCGGTCGTTAATTGCTAGGACTCTTAAGCTGTACGAGAAAGTATTCTCCCGTGGCTCGAGAGGGAAGAAAGATATATATATATATATATATATATATATATATATATATCCGTTTCGTTGTTAAACCCGTCGATGACGTTCACAAAATGGAGTAGATCAGAATCTTACATAAGTAAGTTTGACAACAGGGATACTTCCTTTATTTTCCCCACAAATTTCTAAGGGTTAACGATCTAACGAGGTAGAGTAAGAGTCTCGTTGAATTTCAACCAGTCCTCCAAATGAGAACTTAGTAAACGCCCGCGAAAATCATAGAGGACGTGAGAAATTCGGAATACTACTGGTTTGGCTCCCCCAAGCCTTCTTCCCTAGCTCTCCCTCCCTCCCTCCTTCAAACCTACCTCCCCGAAGAACACGAGAATGGCATTAGTAGTAAGTTACGCTTGTGGCCAGACTGGATGTGTCCGTAAGGTGCCTGTTGGCTGTGTTTAAGGAGATAGGAGGTACCTTCGAGTACTCGAAGGTAAAGCGACGGTGAGTCTCGCGTTGGTTCTCACTGTATGTGGTTTCTGTGTTACCGAATTCGAGACGACCTAGGATTCCTTCGAGGAGTAAGTGAGAAAGACAAATAGATAGAGAGAGGGATGCTACCTCTCTGGCAAAGTTAGTTGCCGGCGACAGAGCCGAGTGTTCGTGGGGAGTTTTCGAGGCAGGAGAGTTTCCACGATAGTTCTCGCTCGGACGGAGTTCCTCCTCCTTGCCGTGTTGGAGATGGTATACCTAACGTTACCGGAGTTTCTCCAGGCTTTCACGGGGGAGAACGGTGCTAAAACCGCGACAGAGAAGCGTTACGAAGGAGGCTGGAAGGTAATATGTATGTGCGTATGTATGTATGTATGTCTATGTGCGTGAGAGAGAGAGAGGGAGAGAGAGAGAGAGAGAGAGAGAGAGAGAGAGAGAGAGAAGCTTGATAGATATGAGCAGTCTAAGTAACAACCATCAGTTTCCAGAGTTCACCGTGCCAACCGAGAGCACCTCTAACGAACTTCTGGCAAGATTTAAAGGAAGTACCACCGAGTGTCGACTTCGTCGGGTTGCCTAGAATTGCCGACTTAATTAAGTGGCTTGCGTTATGGCACTTGCTGTGAAACAGAAACAAAAAAAAAAATAAAGAAAAAAAAGAAAAAAAAAAAAAAAGAAAGAAAGAAAGAAAGAAAGAAAAAAAAGAAATGAAAAGAAGAACGAATCTCACGCACGCTCTATTGTTACAACTGTTCTTCCGTGATTTCTTTCTTTTCTTTTTTTTTCTTTTTTTTACTTTTTTTTCTTTTTCTCTTCGTCTTTTCTTTCTTTTAAACAAACGATCGATCCCAAGAAAGATTTTGTCAAATAAAATAACGTATCCAGTTTGAAGACAAAGTAGCTCTTCAAGATTTCCCTTATGTGTTTCCTTTATTTCCTTGTACATTTCGAAATAGAGACAGAGAGAGAGAGTGAGAGTGAGAGAGAGAGAGAGAGAGAGAGAGAGAGAGAGAGTGAGAAGGGGGGGAAAGAGAAAGGAGTTCGTGAGCAAACTATGTTCGATGTATTCGTCGAGAAGGGAAGAGCGAGAAGAAGAAGGGGGAAAGGACGATTCGCTGAACGGAAACCGGAAATGTGCTCCGGAACCTTCAACAATCCCTCGAT